GGGATGAGGTCGTGAAAGCCCTCCCATCGTGTATTTCCAATCTCCGAGATGCTGTTGTGGCGGAGGTAACGGCAGCATTGCAGCCCCAGCTCCAGCGTCTCATAGAGAGGCTGCTGGTCAAGCTCAGTCCTACACCCAGTGATACTGCGACTCAGTCCAGTCGTCAGCAAGTTTCTGTCACTGAGCAGCAGCAATCTGTCCTGGATGCGCCAACATTTGCCTCAGTGGTCAGTCCTACACCCAGTGATGCTGCGACTCGGTCCAGTCGTCAGCCAGTTTCTGCCACTGAGCAGCAGCAATCTGTCCCGGATGCACCAACATTTGCCTCAGTGGTCACTCAGAACTCTGTGGACATGACTAAACAGCCCTGCAATTTACTGCTGCAGCAGCCGGCTGCAGAAATCCCAGCAAACCCAAGGCCACCTGAGCCACGGCAGATTGAAGACCTGGTCCAGGCTGCCAGAGCGGCAGCTACATCCCCATCGACAACACCTGTTCCGGAGGAGCCGTGGCAGGATGTATGTGCTCCCCGCAGGAAAGTCTTTCTGTATGTTGGAGGGCTGTCACCAACAGTGACAGAAGAACGACTCCGTGGCTACGTGACACGGAATGCCAACAACCCAGCTGTTATTGTCGTCTACAAGTGTCAAATACAAAGTGCGAAACCTGAGAAGTCGATCGCATTCGCTCGGCTCACTGTGAGCGCACCCACAGCTGCGGTGCTGCTTTCTAAGGGTTTCTGGCGGGGTCGAGCATACTGTCGTCGCTGGGTGTTTCATGCTCCAGAATCCAAGGCCACCCAAACTCCTGTCAGCAAGGACAAGGGCAGGACGACGACTGACGATGCGTCTACAGACATTGAACTCAGTTCCCAATGATAGCGGCGGGAAATCGTTCACCACAAGTCATGAGCCAGGCTATGCTTGCCGTATCCTTTCTCAATATATGTAGTCTACAGAGAAAAGTCGGCGAAGTGCAACAGTACCTTGCTGTGCGTGGAATCCATGTCCTCGGCCTGCCTGAAACTTGGCTGAAGCCATGCATTAGCGACGGCGAGATTTCGATTCCGAATTACAAGCTGTTCCGAAAGGACCGTTATCGTCAACATGGAGGAGGCGTCGCTGTGTACTGTCATGATTCTGTCCATGCCAGAAGGCGCACGGACCTGGAGTGTCCAGAGCTAGAGATGATGTGGATCGAAATTACAAGTAATGGGCGAACCACTGTTCTCGGGTGTACATATCGCCCACCAAACAAACCTGTATCGTACTGGGATGGTTTTGAGAATAATATTGAGCAAGCTTGTCAAGGACGGCAACATTCCACAGTACTCGTTGGTGACTTTAACGTGGATTTCAGCATGCCTGGTAATGCTGCCCACCCTCTTCAGCATATTCTGACGAGATTTGATCTGAAGAATTACGTATCCTCTGCAACACGAGTGACAGCACATTCCCAGACCATTCTCGACCTTTTCCTCTCGACAACAGCTATAAGTGGAACATGTGAAATAATTTACCTTGATATAAGTGATCACTATGCCATACTCGCTCATCTACCGATTCCGTCTAAACCTGCTCGTAAGGGAACATCAACTGTCACGGGTCGTCGTCTCCATCAGATTGACTGGGGCTGCTTTCAAACTGACTTACATGGCATACTGTCTGTCGGCTTCGATGATCAAGATGTTGACTCCATGACAACTTCCTTTAACAATGCTATTCTCTCCACCCTTGACCAACATGCACCCATCACCACCCGCCGCCGTGCAGACCGGCGTCCATGTCCCTGGCTGACTCGCGAGCTGGTTGAGTGTGTCCGGAACCGAAACAGACTGCACCGCCGTCTAATGCAAGATAGAGCAAACGAGGCACTCCAGCAGGAGCACCGAGCTGCACGTGCCAAGGCCAGAAAGCTAGATAGACAGTTGAAGAATGCTTACTTTATGGATCAATGCTATACGTCTGATCAAAGGAAACTTTGGTCCGTGATGAACACTGTCACCGGACGAAAGAAGACCCGCCGAGTGCCCCAGGTATCAGCTGACCAGCTGGGCGACTTCTTTGCAGATGTTGTTCATGACCCCAGTCGACCTACGCACCTACAGATGCCAGTTGGCCCTACGAAATCTGATGCCCTTACAGCCTTCCAACCTGTGTCGTTGTATGATGTCGCTAAGCGTTTGCAATGTGTGGATCCTCATAAAGCTACCGGAAGTGATGGAATCCCAGGTATTGTGTTGAAACGTTGCTCGGACACCCTCTCCCCATACCTGATGAAGATCGTCAACTTATCTCTTGCGTCTGGTATAGTGCCATCAACTTTCAAACATTCTCTTATCAGCCCATTGTATAAGAATGGCGACCCACTGTCAGCTCGTAACTATCGGCCCGTCTCGCTACTGCCTATTGTTTCTCGCATACTGGAGCACTTTGTCAAGAAACAGCTGACAACTTTCCTAGATGATCACTCCTTGTTACCTTCAAGTCAATTTGCATACCGAAGAAATCACTCAACAGAAGATGCTCTTATCCTTGCCTCCAGCCGCTGGAAATTGGCCAAATCGGAACGAAAACACACCGGGGTAGTAATGGTAGATCTATCGAAGGCATTTGATAGAGTCCAGCATGCCAGGCTTGTGCAAGTGCTGTTTGACCTTGGCATTTGTGACACACCACTGGAATGGTTCCTCAGTTATCTCTCGGAGCGGCAGCAGTGTGTACGGGTGGAACACTCAGTTTCGCAATATGTTGGATGCTCCCGAGGAGTGCCTGAAGGCAGCGTTCTGGGCCCTCTTCTTTTTGTACTGTACACCAGTGATATGTCGTCAGTTCTACCAGGTAGTGTATGCCACCATGAATTCGCTGATGATGTGGCTCTGGACTACTCCGACTATCAGCCTGATTTAGTGTGCTCTGTTCTCTCTAACGCTGTAACACAACTCGCTGAGTACTTGGATAACATTGGTCTGCTATTAAATGCCAGTAAAACCCAAGTTATGTTTGTGAGACCCCGTGGTTGTCTGGACGGACCATCTGAAGTGAAGTGTGGTACCACAGTGCTTGATGTTACTCCAGTCACGAAGTATCTCGGTGTCATGCTTGATGACCAACTGTCCTGGAAGCCCCAAGTGGACTTTATTGCCAGCAAGACTGCTACTACAATCGGGCAGCTCTGGCGCCATGGACGGTGCCTTTCACTCAATGCCCGCCGGGCCTTGTACATGAGTATGATTCAGTCTGTGCTCTGCTATGCCTCAAACTGTTTCTTTCCCGCTCTATCCAAACTGCTGCTGCATCGACTGCTACGCATTGCTAAGTCTGGCATACGAGCCATCTTCCAACTCCCCAGAAGGACCCCCACTGCTCCCCTATTTGCCAGACTATCAATGCCTCAGCTCCACCAGCTGTACGTGCAACGTCTGCTTCTCTTCGTCTTCCGCTGCCTTCATGGCAGAGCCAGCTCACTGTTCCAATCCTACTACTCCCTCATTGCCACGGATGTGGACAGAAGTTGTGTCACGCGTGGTCAGGTCAGCCAGCTGCTCAGAGTGCCGTTCCTACCTGGTCCCTCAGGCCGTAGCTCAATCGCCTTCGTTGGCAGTACCACATGGAACTCTCTCCCTGCTGATATTCGCGCTTGCGACGTACGCCACACGTTTCAAGCATTGCTGTCTGGCCATGATCTTATCTCCCTCCTCAACTAGCTCTCCGATGTTGTGCCTACTATGTCTTCTTCACAGACTCTGCCTGAACAAATGCTCATCAATTATGTTCTTGTCCTCTATCCTAGTCCAAATTCTGCCTTGCCCATGCATGACTCTCATGAAATGCCCGTACTAAATAGTCTATAGAACAATAATATTGGATATCATACTTCTCTCATCAACTATGATAATACCCATTTCATACCCCCCCCCTTCATAAAATTTATACCTACTGTTTTCTTTCCTTTCATTTCATCTTCTTTTCCGTTCCTTTCTTCTTCATACAAATTTTAAACATTTTCATCATATTGTGAGAGCCGTGGGCCAATAGCCCCGGTGAGAAGGCAGTCTTGCCTGTTCATATGGTGAAGTAAAATAAAGAAACAACAACAACAACATTTGTCTGTACGTTTTTGCTAAACAGAGGGTTGAACCACGTGACGTTGCGCTGATGGTTTCTCCTCATCTTCTTCTGCCCTCCTTTCTGTTCGCTTTTGTATTCCACCTCCTCATCATATCCACTGGCATGGAGGGTCTCATTGTCGAGAGGGACGGCCTGATGAAATGTCTCCTCGTCATGTGATAGGTCTGTCACCCGGCGACTTATAGCAGCAGGGAGTTGATCTATGATGTAGGCTGGATGATTGGACTTGGAGTGAATGTATACAGGGTTATCATTGGGCTTTCTGCACGGGTAGTGTTGACCAATATTCAAGTTGAGAGTCACATCCAGATAGGTGACTATCTTCCAGTTTGTCTCGATTGTAATACGGGGCCCAACTCGTTTAATGTTTGAATCATCCTTTTCCTAGAGCGATCGGCCTCACTTCCGGTATTGCTGTGCAATACTACCAGTCTGTCGTCATGATACAGGCCAATATCATCTTTCTTCAAATCCTGCGTCAGCTTGTATAGTGCGAAAGTGAAAATTAGCTCGCACACCTCTGCACCATCAAAACATCCCATCGTATGATCTGATTAATAATGATAAGTCTTAGGTTTCTATTATCAGTCGTCTGATGATTGCAATGGCATGAAACTTTGAGCCACGAGAAATCTAAACTGGACCTATTTCTCTTTTCCGTGTGAAACGCTCTGCACTTTTTGCATTGAGCCCTTTGCCGGCAATTGCGAAACTTACTCCTTTGTATCTTTCTACCTGTGTATCTATCACGCGCTCACTCTTTCATGTGCATGTGCGTATGCATTTCCCCTCTCATTTCTTTAGGAGCAAAGAAAATGTTATTGTCAATAGATGCAAAGTAATCTCTTCCTTGGGCTTTAATCACTGCAGGCTTATCTGGGCTGGACAGCATGTCAACAGGATTCGCGACGCGTCCTACAATTTCTCCTCAAAACCGTTTCCGGTGATGTCTTCAGTCAGCCTTGTGACAAAGAGGTAACAAATACAACCATTGATAATATTTGTTTCACTCAATCTGCGAACAGAATCGTTTCGTCCTTTGTGGACTCGTGAGCGCAGCACAGAGAAAATGAAGCTGAACCTGATAGCAATGACGTTTCAAATTTCCAAAGCCAGATTGAAAAGGGGAGTTGAGCCTAAAATCAAATTTTCACCAGTTGTAGTCTTCGGGGTGCTGAGTCGAATAGTCTTGGTCCGAGGAAGCTGAGACGCTCCCTTCCTCCTTTATTCCCAATCTAACTCGCGCACTTCCACCAAAACTGGGTGACGGCGCCCTACTAGATGGGGATTTGTATGCAAAATGTCACTAAAAGCGCCATTTCGTTCTTATGAAAGCACTGATGACCGCGATTGGCCCATGTGTTGTAGTCTTTTCGACGCTGAGTCGACTGATTTTGGTCCGAGATTGATGCGATTCAGCGTTCTGCCCCTATTCCTAAACAAAAATGGCTGAACAAGCGGTCACATGCTCCTGCGTACACTAGTCACCTGGTCACCGTGCCTGCGGGGTACGACTTACAGACTGTTTGGGTGCGTTCCTGTCACTCGAGTTGAGCCTTGGTGTGAAAATTGTGCCCTTCAGGCACGGTGACCAGGTGATTGGTGTATGCAGGCGCACGTGTATGCCAGCCGAAAATATGGAGTCCGTGTGCAGGTATTTGCACGATTCTAATCACTGCATTCTGAGGAGTGGAGGTGGAAATTACTACACTCGACATCGTGGCTCGTGCACGGGACACTGGAGTGACATAGAGAGTTGCAGAGTGATCATAGCAGAGGCGCTTGTTGCAGCTGAAGCAGCTCTATCCGCACTTTCGTTCGACAACAGCTGCAATTCCGAAGTTGCGATCTCCGAATAATAGTAGAGTGATTTACACTAACTGATGTCTCTTATTAACCTCTTCAGCACGCATCACGTAAATGTACGTGATCCTGGATGCTACCGGTCCACGGATCACGTACATATACGTCATACGATCTACATAACGCCGTACAGTTGTTTTTGGCTTCCGTGTACTAGTACCAGGCCTGTACCGTGGTCACGCGGAGCTAGGCCTGTTCAGGAGACGTATTACGACAAATAGACGTGGAGTTCGCCACGTATCACGGCAAGAGTAGGTTGTGCAGTGCAAAAATATACCAGAAAGAAATTTGTTAACATTTTCAACCATCGCACAAGGTAGATACAGCGCTGAGGAGATCGACCAAGTTTTAGAGCAGATCACGCTCAGTTTGGATAGCGATAATGAGCCAACCGTCTCTGAGAGCGATTTTTCGTCGGCGGATGAGTCTGTGTCTTCATCTCCGGAACGATGTGCGTCGCCAGAAATTGGCGATGCTGCTGACGATGTTGAGGTAATGGAGAACGCGGAACAGGTGGTACGGAGGACACCAGCGCTGGCGACGAGGCCATGTCCTTGAAGCCACATGTGGAAGCTGTCGAGGTTCTAGCTGCAGGTGACGAAGGAAGCGAAGGTGAGTTGGGTGCATTTACAATTTGAATTTTTCACTAATTTTGAATTTTGAAATTTCAAATATTCTTGTACTGTTGCATGCTGTTGACTATATTTTTGCAAAGGTGGGCTAACTTAGTGGTATTTTGAATTGTAGATATTTTTGTGCCCGTTCTAGCATGTCACTGTTGATGTTATGGACACCAAAGTACTGAAGTACAAATAAATATGCAACAGATATGTGAATTGATACTGAAATACACATTATCTGCATTATTGTGCTTACATGCATCCAGGCATATGGGTGAAGCAGAGTATTCCACGTACCGCACTGCCATTCACTGGCAACTCCGGTCTCCAAATGCCGCTTCCCGACGAACCAATTCCACTTGACTGCCTGAAATTGTTCCTCAATGAAGATTTCTTTGAGTATCTTGTGACGGAAACCAATCGCTATGCACGCGCAGTAATTGATGCCAACCTACATACTCTGCCGGCTCGCAGAAAATGTGTGTGTTCTATGCCAAGGGGAAACGCCGAGATGTGTGGCAGATGTGTGCTGATTGCCCGAAAAACCCAGGGTATTGTCTTGAGTGTTTCGAGACATCGCACCGAGGAAAATAGCTGTTCCACAATTGCCGAGTGGTTTCTAATCGCCAATTTGTTCGAGTTTGCGGACATGTAGCGTGACCTAAACCGATGTAAATATGTACATATTGAGGGTGAACCATGAGAATACATTATATATTTATTATTTTTTCATTCTGACTAGCAATTGTTGATACCTGTACTTAGAAGCGATACTGCATGCAGTAAACCCTGTACAGGTCCTCTCTCATTATAACGAGTCCGGTTAGTACATAAACCCCATAAGAAAATAGAAATCTGAAATCTCCTGGCAAAACGTGGTCTATACAACTGTTTACAGGTCCGGTTACAACATAATCCGTTAGTACATAAAATCCGTTATAACGACCCTTTGCCCAGGTCCCTGGAGTGCCAAACCCTCAGTATAAGATAATATTGACCATGCAGGACCAAGGCCAAAACATGTAGGATAAAGTAGAACGAGGAAACGTATGATGTCTATGTACTCGTGAATATGGACGATCCTTTGCATCCAAGGAAGAGTTATGTTGGAGATTTTCAATTATCTTATAACGAGTTGAAGCATCTGTAATTTATGTTGTATCGAGGGTAGCCCCGGTAAGTACGAAGTAGTGCCTATTTCACCTTTAGCTGCAAGTCCTCCTACAAGATAAGTCTCGTTATAAGATAACTTTTCGATGGCCCAGAGATTATCTACTAACGAGGGAGGACCTGTAATAGCTGTCCTACTTTTATAGATGTGCTGGAAATACGTAAATTTGCTGCGCTGATTTGCATTGAAATCTATGCAATAGGGTATGTTCACACCGACTTTAATGCTGAAATAGGTCATCACAATGATAAATGCACATTGTTAGGTGAAATTCACAAGCTAGAATCGAATTTTAGAAAAAAGTGAAATTTAAATAAAAACGGCCCACGGGCCGGGTACAAACCCTTGCCGTGCTAATGAGGTTAAGTAAAAATGGGGAGGCTTCCTGCAGTTTCATAAACAGTTCATAGTAGAGCCTACACACTTTCTTCCATTGACACTGCAATAGTTCAACTCATTTCACAATAATCATGCCAACGTTTCGGCAAATTGCCTTCATCAGGTTCACGATGATGTGCAAGCTCCCAAACCAGCATTGATAGAGGCCAACAACTCCCCTGTCAGTAAGAGGGTATGAGAAGCAGCGCGAAAAAGAGTTCAGCTAATAGCGCTAACATCGACTATCAGTGGAGGGGACTACAGCTGAGGTAAAAATAAAATAAAAACTTTATTCAGCGCCGAATGTCATGATAATCAGACAATAAGTGAGTGGCGATAAAAATCACAGCAATGACCACCCAGCGTTAATGTTTATCTTTGGAGCCAAATCTCTCTCTCTTCAAACATCGAAGGGGGCTCTGACGAGCCTTTGATAGGCGAAACAGCTGTCAGAAGGAAATGTTTTACCCGTGACCCCTTCGTTGTTTGAAGTTATTGGTGTGAGCAATGGCTACCGAGGGTAGCAATGGTCGGCTTTAGAGCGCATGGAGGAGGAGAGTTAGTTTCTTGTATTATTCAACAGCCGAAAGGTACCGTTCAACAGTTTATTGCTATTCTGTATACTACATTCTTTTTCATACAAACCTTCTACCCACCGGATTGACATGTAAGACATGGCTCAAGCGGGCGGCCTCGTCTCCCACGCTGCGTAGTATTCGGCTCCTTGACATACTGGGGTGGAGACTGTGCTGAACGACATAATTGATTGCGGAGACTGCCCGAGTGCTCATAAACTACTCTTACCGGCAGTTTGTACTTGCGAATGGCCCTATTTACCCTAGGGTGTACTTGGTCCGACTTAAACGGTACAGTCAACTTTGCGAATAACGACATTCGGCGGGGCATCAGAAAAGTGTCCTTATTCGCGAAGTGTCCGTATAACCGAAGTCCCATTTGAATGTATGTGAACCCATATTTTGTATAGTATGACATGTATATCAAAATGAAGCTCTTTTCTTGCTCTATGTCAAGGTGTACTTTATTGCAGTTGAAAGGAACTATAAAGTCAATAATACTATGACTCAATATTAGTGTTGAAACGATCTCACCGGATACTCGTTAGCTCGCTCGCCAGAAACTCGGCTCGTTTGTGCGGCCAGCTCGTTTGCACTAACGAACACCATACACCGTACTCCGTACACATGGCAGTACATGTCGACCGGGGAGTCGTAAAATATTTTACGACTCCCTGGTCGATCGAGAGTCCAGTCCCGCGCAAAGTGAAAATCACTCGCAGTTACAGGTGACTGTATGCCTGCACGACACTTGAGTTGTTTCAGTTGTCGTTGCAGCTTTGGTGGACTCTACTGACGTCTTGTTCCGCATCTGCTGACCTGTCGCAGGATATGCTTCGGTCACCTCTCCATTCGAGTGAAAGTAAAATAGTTACGGTCAGTTCGTTTGGAAGTTTTCTCCCGCGATGCAGCGAAGACCAGGGCTACTTGCAATCTTTGCAAAACGGTCTATTCTTACAACGGCTGCTCGACGACGGCGCTGAAAAGACATCTCGACACCAAACAGCAGTCCGAAGTGAAGCAGCAGCAACCCCAAATGCCGGCGGTGATGATTTGAACCAGCTGAAAAAAATCGAACTTAGAAAAAAAAGTATTCAAAAAATCATATTTGCCACATCATTGAAACTCGTTAGCTCGCTCGATAGCTTGCTCGTTAGTGGAACAGATCGCTCGGTTGTTATAGATACGCTCGTTTCAACACTACTCAATATGCAAGGAAATAAAGTTAAAAATATGCCTTTTTGAGCCATCTACAGGGCCAGAGACATGATGTATGATGATAACTGTACAATCATGTACAACTACATGTAGGTGTGCTGGTAAATCCAACAATTTTGAAGCAAAGGAAAAAAGGAAGAAACCCTCTCC